TTCATCTTTAATGTTCTCTTGCCATTTTATATTAATATCACTACGCTCCATTTTAATAAATAATCTAAGATCTTACTTGAAATTATACCTTAACCTGCTATACACCCTTGCCAAAAGATATAGCACAAAGAATAGCAAAAGGGGATCTTGATCCAATTACCAAAATGCCATTTGAGGTACATCATCATTTTTTTTTAATCTTTATTCATAACAAATTGTATATTAAAATGAATGAATAAATATATATAGTTAGCGGAAATATCTATGAATTTTGTGCATGTGTTGGTCAACATAATTTGACTTATTTCATTTGTTCAGTTTTGGAATATGAAGGACAATTCGCACATTTGTGAAAGAAAATTGGATTTTGAAAATGATAGGAATAGGATTGACAATTGAAAATACTATTCTATTTTGTTGTCTTTGGGTTGGCATGGATGTGCACGAGTTTGTGTAAATTCTACATATAAAATAGATTTTGTTTTCCTTTTTATGTTAAAGTACAAGGTTTTCTTTAGAGTTAGTATCACCTCCATATAGTTTTCAGTAAGACTACAAATAATTATACTTTCAGCCAACTATGACTCAGCATATTATATTTTTATGCTTTGATGAGATGCATCCCTATATGATCAATAAATCATTAATAAAACTTGAGGAAATATAAATATATTATTACCCTTTCTTCTTAATAAATGTTAAAAAGCAAGGTAAGCATTAAACATGCACGTATGCTCTCTCAAATTTTTATAGCCTTGTTTAAGGGTACTGTTGGTGAAGTCCATATCTTTTAAAATGGTAGGGAGATACTCATGCAGCCAGATTGGCAATTACCGGAACTAGTCAATTCAAAATTCCTCATTCTGAAAATGCAAAGAAAAAGATTGATTTGCCCGTGCAGAAGAATCTCTTGACGAAGTATTTTTGTATCCTGCAAAGCATTCTTCTTGAATTAATTCATTCAGTTTAGCTCGTTTAAAAGGAAGAAAAGCAGGGCAGCATTCTATGGTTCACTGGAATACTGCCTGATGCTGTTGTTGCTTTAGTTACCAATTTTCTAAAAATTTAGATTCAAGGTCATATATCATTCAAAACAATCAAGTTGAGGCAATGAATTATGGTGGCATTTAAGCTCAATGTTTCTTTACAACATTCTGCTATCTACTTGAAGCTAGAAGCCTTTCTTCTATTCCTCACGATCCTCTGCAGTGTTTTTTGAACTGCATGAATCTCAACCATTAAAATTAAATTTTACTTATAGGAAATATTAATAAAAAATATAATGAATGGCGCAAGATTGAACTGCACCACCTACAGTTTATTTTTTTCCAACTGTAGGGGATCCATATCCCCTCCTTAGGACAACTTTTCCTTAGCCATGAAAGGTTTTGCATCTCTTGAAGCGAAAAGGAAATTCAGAGCACCTCGGGTGTCACCTACTGCTGCTAATGAAACAAAGAACTCTACTGCATCTATAATTGACTCTGAGAATTGGGATAATGTCCCTCCTCCTATTAGCCATGTAAGTTGCCTGAATATTGAACTAGAATAGTGAAACTTCTTCTCATTGTTGGTAGTTAAACTCTTAGATATGTTTTTAACATATTCTTCAATTTCTTACTTTAGATTGAATATGGTTCTGCCACAAAAAATTCTGAATTTACAGGGTCTCCATCTCATGGTAAGATATGAATCTGTTGGTTTGCTTGGGATGGGAAACCGTAACCCCATTATGCCTTTGATGTTTTAGTTGATACTCATTTCATTGTTTGCCCAAATTAAGTTTCCATGGTGGGCGAGGAGAAGAAAAACCCTGAACATACAGTACTGCGACAGCCCAGGCAGCCAATTCATAAACCGTGTCTGGGGTTGCATAAGGAGCATGAGCACACAAATTTCCAAGACACATTTGAAGGAACAACCAGGCAGGCAATAAGAAAGGTAATTGTAAGGAGTGCTTATTTTCAGCACAAACAAGTAGAAAAGAATGTTTGTGACGAGAAACAAGATCGACTGTCCTCTGGCATTGTCATTGATGAGAGAGAAAATGCCATACCTGACAGTCATTTATGCAACAACCATTTGAAGAATAAAGATCAGAGAGTCCAAGGCACAGGTGAAGGAAAAACCAGGGAGGCAACGAGAAAGGTAACTGTAAGGAGTGCATACTTTCAGCACAAGCAAGTAGAAAATAATACTTCTGACGAGAAACAAGATCGACTGTTCTCTGGCATTGTCATTGACGAGAGAAAAAATGCCATATCTGACAGTGATTTATGTAACAACCATTTGAAGAATAAAGATCTGAAAAGGAAGATATCCCCTAATGACAATATTCAAAATGTAGGATTTTTTTAACTTTGAACATTTGGTTTTCTTTAGCACTTTCACCTTTTACGTGTACACTGATGGTTTCATGGTTTGACTTTCTCCAGGGAAATTTACAGCCCAGGCCAATGCACCATGTTTCACCTCCTCATAATAATGGTACAATTTGACTTTCACTAGTAAAAGTTATTTGTTAGCAAGTATTAATTGTCTTGCCATTCCACCAATTATGTTCTTTGCCTTTGTTGTTATTTTGCTTGCTGTCCAAACTCCATACTGGTGTCTACTACCAATTTCATTATTTCATTATAATCTTTTATGACTGGCTTTACAACTCCTGTAGAAGCTTCTATGCTACTGATTGATTAGTTCTTCATTTATAAATTTCATATTCATGGCGATTTGACTTTATTACAGAAAATAAAGAACTCCTATTGATTCTAAATTGTATCTTATCTTTAAAGAACAAAATTAATAATTTAATATCGAGTCATTGACTAGTACAGACTTACGGAATTGTCTGTGAAAAGTAAGATATATGATTTATCAGTATTAACTATTAACCCCCATGGAAAAGTAGGAAATGAAGTTCATGGAAAATTATGTTTCTTATTGGAAGGGGAAAAAGATGGAAGGAGATGGTCAATACAGAAGAATGGAGATTACTTAATCACCAAAAAGCTCAGCCATAAGAAAGATATTTGTTGCAAGCAAATGAAATTATCTACATATAAATATTGATATTATTAGACATTGATCACATAACATTATAGACCTTTTAAATATATTAAAACATGAACTTTTCCTGCATTTATCAACACTACAATCTTGGGTACATTTATGCATCAAATAATTTAAATAAGAATAGATGATAAAATGTCGCATGCAGGAAATTTTGTGTCAAATTTTAAGTACTTAATATGCATGGTTCTGAAATAATCATAAAAGGAAATATCAATGACGTTTCTCTGAATTCTGATGTTTGTTGAATTTAGGTTGCTGTGATCACAATGTTGACCAGCCATTTACAGAGAATAATGCTGAAGAAGAAAAATTTGGGACAAACATTTCCCATCTGGGCCAGTATTCAGAAATAGCTGAGAAGTCTATGGAAAAATTTGTCTCTGTGATATCATCCTTTAGATGCACTTCTGGCACTCGTGTCAGTGGTCTCCGTGCTCCTCTGAAAGATGTTCAAAACACTTCTGATAATAGGTATGTTTTTCTGCGAAATTGGAATTTCGTATCAACATCATGATTTATGACATGCTTATCTTAATTCACAGGCCAAAAACTGTGGACTTTGGACAATATGCATATGTGCCAAAACAAACAAAGACTAGAAGAATAGCTCCCGGGAATTAATTCGAGTTGCTTAAGGGGAGCTTTACTAGATTGAGGTTTATATCATCCTTTGAACACCAATCTGCCCCAGACAGGACCTGCATTGAGTTAATTTTTCTTTGGAAGCTGTAAATTGTATTCTTGGTGTAACCATCCATTGGCTTGGGGATTAGTTTTCTTGTTTTCTTCATTTAATACCACACCTTGTATAAAACATGGTTCAAGAGCATTATTAAACTGTTCAAGCTTTGGTTAGGCGGCCATTCTAACAATTTGTATGTCCCCATGTTTTTTATTCTCATTTATTGATATCAATTGAAGAATAGAGCCGTGGATTTTTTTTTCCTCCAGTAGTATTAATATATATGTACATCAGTACATATTACCAAACTAAATTTGTGTTTTTATATCATTTTTTATTTTATGAAACTAGTATATTACCATATTTATGTAAGTATATGTTTATGGAATTATAATTAGTTCTTTAAATTATATTTATTAAGGTCTTATTAATGTGGTTTCTATACTTGTTTGCACTTTGTTAATTTAACCTTGTATGTTAAAATTGTAAGTTTTAGACTCGAGAACAAATTTAGTGTTTTCATTGACACTGTTACTCACGTAGTTATGATGTTAAGATTGCTACAGAAAAAGTTTAGCTGTGTAAAATTACAAGAAATTTCTTTTATCATAAAAACTTTTTTTATTAGTGTTGTAACAGTCAAAGTTAATTGAGATAGAAAATCATTGACGACAAAAATTAAAACGCATTCAATTTGCTTGTTCAAGGAAAAAACTTGTAATTTTTACGTACGGGGTCAAAACAACAAAGTACAGAAGTATATTAAGGATCAAGCTGTAAAAAAAAGTATAAGGATCACATTAATAATTAAATCTTGTTACTTTAATATATTTATAACGTTATCAGTTTTGAATTAATATAAAATTTGTCTGCATTATGTAAAATGAAATATATTTATCAATTTTATAAAACAAAAAACTGAAAATTAGTCTAATTAAATCCACTTTAAAATTCAATTAGATTTGGTTTAAAATTAAATTAATTAGATGATAAAATAAAATTTAAAAAATAATTTTTTTTTCTCTCATTGAGGTGGCTTTGAACTTTATAAAATGCAAATTCAATTTTGACCATCAGAATGTCAAAGCCAATGATGAGCTGCTGATATTGCGCTCTACTTTAATTTGTGTAAAAGCAATTTGCAATTATGTAGAAAATTTGTGCGTATATATTCCACGTACAAGTATGTATTTTTTTAGCAAAATCAAGTTTAGGATTTCAAACCTAGGTTTGAGAGATCCAAACATGCTAAAAGTACCGTTGCCAATTTGTGAATTCATTCAAATCACAGGGAAAATGTAATGTTTCCTAGATACAAATATTGGTCAAGTTTATGGCTAGCAATGAGACATATAGGGCATTGCAGAATCAATTTATATGAATAGACACTTCACCAAGTAAAAACAAAATATAACTATAAGACATTGAGTTTATGTTTTTGGTGATGAAGAATGTTCTGCCAAGTCACTCAAGAGGTTTACAACATCATCTGAGCTTTTAAGAAGGTAGCGTGCACTTGATCTTTTTCGTCCAACAGCACAAGAGAAGTAATTATCACCTTTTAGATCAAGCACTGAGGAACCTTCATGCACTGCTATTCTATCACGATATGATGGTTTCCAGTGATCAATCTCTCTCTTTTCTATGTTTGACAGCGAACGTTGTTTCTTGTAAGATGCCTTAGAAGATGCTGTTTTGTTGGATGTAAATTTTGGCAGAGATGATGGCCTGTAAGAGTTGGATTTTGATAGCATGGCTCTTGCTACTGGAGATGATTCAGAAGGGAGCTCTGGCTCAAAAAATTTATACACATCTTCATCCTGAAATAGTTCATTTCCAACCATTATTTGTCTTGATCATTATAGTAGGCTTAGATATGATATTTTGTTCTAATGTTGATCAATCTAAAATCATTATTCCTTTAGAATTTCATTCTAGTCCTTAGGTGATGGGAATTGAGATCCAAGTTAGTTAAGAAAGGTTTCATTGCTGGATTGGAGATAGTTAATTATTAGGAGGACTACATGTGATAAAAAAATGATTTTGTATTACCAAATCTATTAGAAATTAGTTCTGTATTAGAATCTGCATGCATAGAAAGGCCACTATATTTGGTAGTTCTGATATGCATAGAAAATAACTACTAGTAGCTATGTATTAAGAGTAGGGATAAAGGTTAGACAAGATCAAACTTTGAATATATAGATTGGGTCTGCTTTACAAAATTAAAGCCTAAATTTGACTTATTATTTATCATATACTTTTTTTATAGGCCTGTCATGACCTTTTTGAAAGTTTGACCTTACTTATTAGCTTATTTAAAAACCTATTTAAATTATTAATGTTAATTAAGATAATAAACTTAATTTTTAAAAATTTTAAAAATTATTTTTAAAATATACTTTACTCAATATTATTAAAATTTAAATTTTAAAAGAAATATAGGAAAAAAATTGAATCATTTTCTATTAAAGGAACAATTCATATGTAATCATATATGTTGATGTACACTCATTCATAGGTCATAAGTTTATAAATCTATAATGAAAAAGATAATTGTATAATTTTTTTTTAAAATATTAATATTGACTAAATTGATACCAATTAATTAGTTTGAGACCAAATTGAGACCTAAAATAAAAGTTGAACTACATTGAAACAAAAAAAGATTATAAGGGACCAAAATAGGTTTTTAACCTAATCTTTATTATTCTTTATATGATTTTCTTGAATTTTTATACTTACAAGACGACTTTCTATGATTTATGAATTACGAATGTGAATCTTCTACCTTATGAGATTTGAAACAATTGTTTTATACATAAAATATATTATTAAACTATGAAAGATTTTATTTACTTTAAAGGAAAAAGAAACAATATTTTGTTTACATTTATTGTGTATTAATGTTGGGGTAGAGGGTGTCACAGAACTCAATCATGTTTGACAATTTTTCCTTTTCCATTTTGAAAGTTATATTTTTTTTTGTTAAGTACTTTATTTTGGTATATACTTTTTACTATATTATATACGTATACGATGTTGAAAGTCAGATTTTTAACATTCACATTTATTTATTTTGATTTTTCTCAATCATTTAAAATAATTTCTAAAGAATGTTTGAGAGAAAAAAAAAATATTTCACGTCTAAGAATCATGTTTATTGAATATTAAGAATTATTATTTATAGAAATAATTTAAATTTATTTGGTACGTTATAAATATTTTTAAAAATATTTATATATATTATTTGGAAATCAAATATTCATATTATATTAACTCAATAAATAAAATAATGTGATATTTTTATTGTAATAAAACTCGAGAACGCTATGACCTTCTTATGAGTACAATTTTATACAAACTTTATATAAAAATATTTTCCAAAAATAATATTTTTAGAATTTCATATTTTAAATAATAAATTTAACAAAAATATCATTATCAACAAATTATCGAGAAAAATAAAAACTTTATATATACCGAACACTCTATTAGAATATATTTGATAAAACATTGAAAAGGCTTAAAGTTTGTATATAAGTTTATAAGCATTTTTAAATTTAAGCATATAAAGTTTTTTATTTTTTATTATTTTTTTATTTTATAGTTTTATCGCAGATAATATAATTAATATTTAGATTTTTTTTATGATTTCAAGTATATAATTTTTTGCTTCAAAAAAAGTATATAATTTCTGAATTTTATTTAACACACTATTTTAGAACATAATTCAGTTATTTTTTTGCCTATGATTTTCCAAAAAATTTAATAATTAGACGCATTTTACGTTATAATGAGATCAATATTCAAATTTCATTATACTATAATAATAAGTATTTAATTTCTAAATTTTGCATCAAATGCGATTTTTCATAACATAAATTCTGTTAATAATATTTATATGTGAGTAATTATGTAATTATTTTATGGTTTAAATATGTTTTTAATCTTTTAAATTTAAGATAATCTTGTTTTTTATTTTTCAAATTTAAAATCATTGTTTTTAATCTTGTAATTTTTAAAAATTTTATTTTAGTATCTCAGATCCCCAATAACATATATGAAAGTAACATATTAAGATGATTATTCAATATCAATTAAATCAATGTGATATTTTTATTAACAGAGACATTAATAGATATATTTTATATAATAATGTTTAATAAAATTTTTAATAAAATTTGAATGTCTTCTAAAAAAAATAAATTTTAAATATAAGTATTAAAAGAAGATTTTTTGAACTATAAAAACAAAAAATATTAAATTTATATTTGAGAAAAAATAAGTTTAACTTAAATTTAAAGAACTTAAAATTTAGTCTTATTTTATTATTGATTTATAAGTTACTACACTAAAAAATATTAAATAAATTTCACGACAATACGGGTCCATTCATCGCACTGCACTGGTTTGGTTGACCCTTGTAGTGAAAATCCAAAACAGAAGGTATTTGTAATTTTAATTAATGATTACCGTAAATACAAATTTGAAAGTTTGAAACTTTTTAGTGGGTAGTTCCGAAGTTTGAAGTTTGAAGTTTGAAGTTAGAAGCATGAACATGACACCCTTTTCACAAGCCTAATAATCCTCTTCGCCGTCTCATTGCATTGCAATATATAGAGACACATAGCTATTAACACTTCACTTTCGCTCTCTCTAGATTTGGTTTGTGTGTGGTAGCTTCATCGTCCCCACTGAATAGTGAAGGGTACATAGCACCCCACCACCCTATTTCACTCTCCCAATCATGCCTTCGGGTGCTAAGAAGAGAAAAGCTGCCAGGAAAAAGAAGCAAAAGGAAAGCAACATCAACCCATCAGCCAACAACCCCAAAGGTACATTTTTTCCTTCAAATGCATGTGCAATTGGCAATTAATCATAGATGGGTCCTTTTCATTTGTGTGTTATAACTCCTTTTGGCCAATTTGGTCTATTTGGGTAGATGGGGTTTCGATAATTATACTTGTTTTGCATTACTTTCATTGAATTTTACTTCTTTAAATTTTCGGTGGTGTTGGGAATATGCAGGTGTTATTGATTGTAGTTGGGGGTAGTTGAGTTGGGTACACGGGTATTTGTTAATTTGGTTGTTTTAATTGATAATAGTTTGATTGGTTGTATTACAAATGTTAGATAATGATGATTTGAAGTCCCAAGATGGGAAAGGAAGTGATGGTAATTCTCCTGTATATTATGAACATGATGGCCTTCGTAATCCATCCAATGATGGAAGTGAAGAGCTGGAAGAGAGGGGGCCATTGACTGCTCAACCGCGTGCTTCTGATGTCGAGTCCTCTGAAGAAGTCCCTCGTGATGTCAAGATTGACCATTTGTTAGGAGGAGAGGAAGGTGGTGGTGTTTTGGTAGAGAGAGGTTTGGAGTCTGAGGAAAGTTCTGAGAGCACAAATGCAAGTTTTGAGCACATTGAGACTGCCAAGGAATCACATTATCAGGATGGGAATGGCTACGATATCTCAAAGGGTGAATCTTTCACTCAGAAGAGAGGTTTGGAGTCTGAGGAGATTTCCAAGAGCAAAAATGTAAGTTTTGAGCATATTGAGACTGCCAACGGTGGCGATACTTTAAAGGGTGAATCCTTCCCTGAAAAGAACTCAGAGGATGGGTATTGTAATTCAGTTGAAGAGGCAATTGCAAGTCATGAGTTGGTTAAGTCCATTGATTCTTCCCCTTCCAAAATGATTTCTATTACTGAAATGGCACCAGTTGAGGAGACTGTTAATTCAGCTTCTGACCCTGCTGTTACTTCAATTAAGGCCATGAATTTTGTTTCTGAGGTAGAAAAGAGCGATAGTGGAAGTGTATTACTAGAGAAGTCAGTGGTCCATCCTGCAGAAGCGACCAACTTTGCTATGAAGGTAAATGAGGACAATGCATACTCCTTAACTAATCAGAATGTGACAACATCAAGTGTAAAGGAACCTAAGCCAAAGGAATGTGATAATGAAGTGTTAGCTTCACTGTCTGCTAGTCCTTTCACTAAATTTACTAATGGTGCAGAAAATATTAAGGATTCCAAGACTGCAGAGCAATATCTCTAATCTCTAAGTCAAGACCACTTAGGAATCTAGCTACAGTGGTGGCTTCCTCTTCTCTAATACATGCCCTTATCATGTATAGCTCCATTTGTTGCCTATATTGTTCAACTGTCATATCTTTTTGTTGGAGCCTTTGGAGCTTGTTCATAAGCTCCCTACCATAATAAGAGGGAACGTGTCTCCTCCTCAATGCACTCCTAATATCATTCCAATACTGGATAAGAGGATCATTGTGGAGGCGCCTTTCTCTTTCCAAAGAGGTCCACCAATACATTGTGATGGCAAAGGTAGGAGAAGTGAATGATTGAACAACTCCCTAGCTTCACCAAGGCGTGGACATCTTCAATGGAGCTTGAAATCCGAATGCAAGACACTTGAATGAAGGAAGATTTTCGGACAAAGGCAACCTAAACAATGGATGGAAGCATCCAAGCTTAAGGAGCAAATGAAAGCTCACTTCGAAAAGGTAGGAAAACCTAGCTAGGGTTCCTAAAAAGTGAGGTTTCTCTCTCGGTGACTCTTAAAGGAAATTTGGCAGAAAATGCTCTCAAATTTCATATATCTCAAAAGTGATTACATCGTGTAATGAGGGAGGCATTCAAATAACTAGTGAAATATGATACTGCTTGGATATAAAAAATATTATTACTTTGAACAAATAAGGACAACATTGACCAAGTCTTGTATGTTATGGGAGAAAATGAGTACCAGTTACAGCGTAGAGTGCACATAATGCATGAAAGTCAAGTGACCGGTCCTGTAATCATAGAAAGAGATGGTCCAGAAATCATTACACGGTTGACAGAATTACACTAACAAATATTAATTACTTTGCCTAAAATTTAAGCAATTTAAGATAAGGATGCATAATGAACGAGTCAAAATGCAAGGCTGGTGTGTGCAAAGAACAGTCACTGTAGGTAATTGAATATTTCCAAAAAAAGTAAAAAAAATAAAATTATAACTTTAACTTTTGAAGGAAGGGAAATAAATTTTCTGTTGACAGCATTACAAAAATAAGTGATTGTGTAATAGATAAGCTCCACATATTCTGAACAATATCAAGGTAACCTAGAAAGAATACATTGTAAGTTCCTCGGTGATTAAGATTGCAGAACAAAAGAAGATCAATTATTGAATATTTATTGTAATTTTGGCAAAGAATGTTTTATAATTTTATTTGGTTACTGTAGGTAATTTTAGGAAAACTTTGATAGAATTAAAATCCCATTAGAGTACTTTGTATATTAGGTATGTTTTCTTTACTTGTCAGTCAAGTTGTATTAAAATTTTTTGTTAAGAACACAGAAAAGATAATTTGGTAGGATAGATGTATATTATCAATCAATTGATTTACAAAAGCTTGTTAAATAGCATTACAAAGGAGGAAATAATGGCTAGAATAAAGCTAATCGTATCAATATTCAATATCAGGAAACAGAATCATATCCTATCAATAATATCAGAATTAGTAACTAATAAAACTAATCCTATCCTGATTGATTGACTGATTACAAAATTGCTTTGGAAAAAATACGATTGATAAAATGCAACTCCTCTTTTCACTTATGATTCCAAGGAGTTTCCTCATTTCCTTGGTAGATTTCATAGAATATGTCTAGTAGGTTTCTTGTTCATCTGATACAATGTTTATCCCCTTTTTTTTTATTCCATTTGCATTTCTGTCTTATATCACTTGGTCATATAAGAGACATGAAGAAATGAGATATCATGAATATGTTTGTGATAGTGATGTTGTAAAACAGCTAGCAGAGAATGCATTTAAGGACACAAATTGCGAATAACAAATTTGAATTAAGCAACTCAACCCAAATAGTTGCATTTACATCATGATCAAATGGACAGTGTATAGAACACAGACACGTTTTCTCTAACTATATAGATGATTCATAGTTCAAATCTTATACTAAAGGGGATCATCTCATATATACTAGTGATATGAGAAATTGTGTCTTCAATGAGATTCCAAATAATAGATATTTGCATCCATTCTCGTGATAAAGCAAGAAATATATGTTGTAAATGTTTAAAATACCAACCAGATGGTGTATTGGAACAGCTGTAAGTGTTCCAAATCTTCCATTGATGCGTCCTACAATCTCATGCACTTGGCTTGTAAGCTTTTGATCTGTCAAAGCATCAATTCAACAGTGTGTCCATCATGAAAAATGCCAATAACTAAAATAAGATGACAAACAAAATAAGTAAAACAACAAGAGTCTCAATCAATAGATGGAAATGCTTCAAGTGATAATTAACATGTCTAGAGAAATTCAGAAATAACATACATTCAGGAACATCTGTCCTAGTAGGTACAGCAATTTGCAGCAAGACTACTTTATCATGCCAGTGTGAATTCTCCTCAAGGAACTTTTCAAATGCCAAGATTTTCTGGGGAATTCCTTTTATCATATCAAGACGATCGACACCCAACATTACCTGTCCATTTGATAAGAAACATTAACATAAAGTTATTCAAATGATTCAAGTTTTCAGAGAAAAGTAGATGTAGAACAGAAAATAGAAGCCAAGGAATAATCTCAACTTCTCAAACTCTTGAACTAGGAATTTTTGCATATATAGCTCTTACCTTTCGGCCTCCAAATCTTTCTTTCAGTTCTTTCATGCGAGCCTGGACTTCAGGGAGTTCAAGGGCTTGAATGAATCTTTCAGAGTCAATCCCAATAGGAAACTGAAGTTTCATGCTCCCAAAAAATAAAACTTTGTCAGCATGAGAAGGAAATCAGATACTGCATACTCATTGGTTATATTTGAAGAAGAAATTCTTCAGGTGATATTCAATTCTGATAAACATACAACATATGAAGAAATTCCAGTTTTGCTGTTAGATTATAGAATAAGAAAAGGAAAACAATATATGCAGATATACCGCAGCTACACGGGTCAGCTTCCCTTGATCTTCTACTCCTTCTGGTGTGCCTTCAAGCCCAAGAATACGAGTACAAGCACTTACAAAATGCCTTGCATAATCATAGGTATGGAATCTGGGATGCAGACCAATGTAAATATTAAAATCACAGCATTAGATAAAATGTCTAGAATTCTCAAAAATCATACAACATACTTACTGCTTGAAATTTTTTACTACGAATCTGTTTGGATACAAATTTAAAAGAGTCTTTAAGAGTTTTTCTACTGAAAATGAAGAGTTTTTTAGGCTTTCAATTTTTTTTTTTAAAATTTGTATCCAAACAGACTCTAAATAGTACAATCAACAAGCAAGAATTGTAAATCTCAATGTGGAAGATAATTTTAGAGAGAGATAGGGATTTATAAGTGTGTACACATTACTCTGTTGAGTAGAATTTGCTTGTCCTAAATGCATGCTGTTGCCTATTTATCAAGGGAATTTGGCTTGTAAATGTAATACTATGATGAACATCAAGTTGTAGATGCATGAATTACTTACCCCACTAGGTCAGCTGCAAGTACAGATCTCAACAGCTCTGATCTGGATGGTAGAGTCCTATGTATTTCTGAGGAAGGAAAGGGTGTATGGAGAAACCAGCCAACTTTCATTTGGTCATTGTATTCTTTTAAACATTTTGGAAGGAACATTAGGTGGTAATCATGGCACCAAACAACATCTCCTTCCTCATAATGCTTATTTACTACATCAGCAAACATTTGGTTTGCCTTCTTATATGCATCAAATTGAGATTGGAAAGTTCGGGTGGTAGCAAGTCGGTCTTCTTGTGGAAGGCCAAGGTAATGAAATAGAGGCCATAAGATGTTGTTGCAGTAGCCATTGTAGTACTGATTAACTATCTCCTCATCAAGAAATACTGGTATACATCGCTGCATTTAAGAATGCATAATTAGGAGAACAAAATATTGAGGGTTTGTGTGTCTTTGCAAAGAGAAGACAATATATCTTCATGCTTGTGAATTATCAATTTGATACATAAAGCAAAGAAGACTCGATACCATTTCAGCTAAAGCTGTAGTCAATGCTTTCTTTCCAACATCATCAGGCACATTCACACCGGCCCATCCAATCCATCTAGTATCAAACTCCTTTACACCTTCAACAGAAACAAGAAACTTAATCCATTTCTACAAGTAATGGATTATTATTAGAATGGTGTGTAGATAACTATCATTGTCGTGGTTGTGACCTCTATGAGATCATCAACAAAGGTAACTAATTAGCATAGCTGAGTCTCAAACTTACAAGAGATGTATGAATCAGAAACAAACTAACAAATCACACCAAAATGAAAACAAATTAATGCAAGGTGACAAACTTTTTCTTGCCTAGAAGTGCACTGACTAGCCCGCCTACACTGATTTCAAGGTGATATGAGTCCACACCCTCCCTAACCGCAGACACAGGCAACCTGTTAGCTACCACCAACAAACGTTGTTTGCTTGGTCTCTCATCTGTAAAAAATCTTGCATCCGCATTCGTTTCTGTGGCCTCTTCCTCATTATGAACACCCAAATTTTCATTCTCACTTATGCATGAATCACCATAAAATTGTTCTCCCTCTTTGTTGCCATCTTTTGCTTCCTCAGTTGTTTGAGTATACTTGAAGGATTTCCTTAGCTCTCTTTCCCTCAGAAGCCTTTCCAAT